ATATTACCATTATAAAGTATTTATAAAATCTGAACAATGTCGTAGAATGCAGGTTTTCATCTGATACCAACTTTTTCAGGTGTAAGATCCGGTAGGTAGGCATCTAATCTAGAACAAATGTATTCATTCGTTTATAGATCATCACAATTAGATACAATATTAATTTTAAAAAGACCATTTAAATAAAAGACTTCCTCCGTGCCTGTGTCCCAAACTCCGTTGGAGTCGGCTTTAAGTTTACTACGACACGACTTCTGAACTGAACTGAACTTCGACTTCTTACATGGAGCGACTGCCATCCAACCTCCACAATCCAAGTACAAGGCCATATTGAAGTTCTGTAAAAAGACTGTTGTCGAACTTTTTACGGCTCCAAGGATTGCGACAGGTGTTGCGAAACTGACAGTTTGATGTGCACTCCGAGGCACGGAGGGGACACAATGTGTTATAGTTAAACCGCCGTAAGCTTGGCCCTCCTGATGGTTTGGGGGACCCGGGGCGGGGGTGCATTCAGCTAGTACGTCGCTGTCCGCCGGCAGTGACTGACGCGAAAGCATGGCTGTACGTGTTATTTTTCTTAAGACTGCTACACACGGTATTATTTTACAGAGGTTCTACTGTTAAAGTTCTAATAAAGAATATTTATTATTTTACTTAATTTTTTAATTGTATCTGGATATAATTTATATGATAAGGATAAGGTGATTTTATTAAAATTATTTTACAGTATTCAATTTTACAATTAATCATAAAAACTTACAATACACTGATATTATAATACATAGAAATAAATTCGATTTTTATTACATCGTGTGTAGATTAAATCTCAAACAAATAAATCTGAAGATATCGAGTTAGTACATCGTGTCACGTACGAGTATAGCCGAGCGCATCACCCGCCCCGCGTCCCGCAAACCATCAGGAGGGCCAAGCTTACGGCGGTTTAACTATAAGAATGATCACCCATCCATAAACTGACAGGATAGGTTTTCTTAACTTTGCAATATGTTAACCTACTTGGTTATAATTTAGCCATGACATAAAAGAGCATTCGAGCATATTGCCGAAACTGACGCGCGTCAAAAACAGTGATACATTACACAATAGTAAATTGATTTTTGGTGTAGGCACGAAAGCTTAACAAACAAACAAACTCTTCACATTTATAATAAGATAAAATAAGAATTTTAAAACGTGTATAGAAATAGGAATTAGGAATCTCCTCATTATTTCAAGTCGGTAAAGAAAATCAGTAAACTAAGAATATTACATGAATTTCACGTGACAAATTTTGTGTAAAGTAGTCTGCTAAGTTTAACCTTCAGTTTTCTTAATAAAGAACTCTTGAATGTACTTCAGACTTCCATAGTATTCTGGAGGGGCAAAAATTCCTTTGTAACATCAAGGTCTTAAAAGTACATAACTTGTCTAGCTTCCCCTTGGCTCGTTCTACTAGCCCCTTGGCAGTAATTAACATTCTCTCCAAGTAATCTCGAGCTGTAATCATTTTAATTTATTGTGATCTTTCATCTTTGTAGTTGATGTTTTCCGCTATGATGATTTGTATAATTTTGCTACCATAATTAAATCTCATACTAGGTTAATTATTACTTGTTTAGTATCTTAATGTAATTAAGATTTTGTTGTAACGAACAACATTTATTTAGAAAACACTGTATTTTATAAGTTTGTTTTTAAGGTATTTTAAAGGATTGGTTTTTAGATAATTATAATGGTCTTAAAAATAATTAAAAATTGAGCCGTCTGGCAGATGCGAAACATCGAAATTAGAGTGGCAATGGCTCTCCATAAAACGTAGGCGGCACCCGAAACACGGCCTGCTGGTGTGCACGCGACATCTCTCGATGTAAAAGGGTAAGTGTGATTTCAATTCACGCCTATAACATCCACATCTCGCCTCGCTGGTATAAAACCACCTTAACATCGATTTTCTGTAAACTTCCTTTCTAAGTAGAGGCCTATGTTCAACAGTGGACTTTTAAAGGCTGTTGATGGTGATCATTATGATGATGGTATAAGATGGTATAGATTGATCAGAAATAGTAAGTCACAACTACAATTTAAGAGACATCAGTGTATTACCCTTTGAACGCGACCAGTAACCTCACTGACTCGGCAAATACCAACGAAAGATTGGTTTAACACCTATTTTCTCTAAAGACTTTGTATCACTCCGGTCGAGCCGGCCCATATGCGCTGAAAGTCCACGCTCCCACGGATGAGTTGTTATCAGTTAATTTTAAAACAAAAATCTAAAATCTTAAGCTATTAACACAGAATTTGTAAACAATGTGTCTTACATTGTCTTTACATGTCATAGTAACAAAGTAAAATTATTCTTCAAGAATCTTGAATGACGTCAAATGACAAAAAATAACTCGACAATCGGGCAGATTAAAGATAATATTGTAATTAAAATGTTGTAAAAACATTTAATAAGGGTTTTTTTGTAATTAATTACAATATTTAATTTATAATAATTTTGATTGCGGTTCATATTTTCATTAGTTTAAATAACATGGAATTGAATTAACTATTCGTATTGTAAATACACTAATTATTGTCATGAGAGTGTCTCTTGCTATAACAACTTACCAACTTTACCGATAAGGTTTGCATATTTTAAAGTTAAGTAATCATAGCCAGGTCAGTTTATGGATGGGTAACCGTTCTGAACATATTTGTTACAGGCAATCGTAGGTAGGTACCTAAAAAGTCCGACAACAGTCTACAGAACTTTGATATGGCCTTGTAGAGGTCTGGGATTGTAAAGGTCTGATGGCAGTCGCTTCACGTAATAAATCGAAGTTCAGCCGTGTCGTAGTAGACTTAAAGGCAACCCTAACCTGGTTTGGAATGAAGGCTCCAGAGTTTACCCAAAGGTGGTGCCCCGCTGTTGCGGGTAGGCGCTTGGAGGGGTCCAGATGTCTTAATATCCGCTGTTCCTGGACCCCTCCTATATCAGGCGCGAAGTAGCATACCGTGTAGTTTTAGTCGGTTCGATTCCCAATTTCAAACCCCGGTGGGGTGACGGCCCGTGGTTGTTTCCATACATTAGAAAAAAAAAACAAAAGTTTGGAATGAAGGCTCGTAGGATTTGTAATATTTTTGTTTCTATTTAAATATGTTTTTGTATAATTTGATGAAACAGGGTAATGAGGATTACTACCTTTCACACATTTTTAATATTGTATCAGATTTTTTCCTTAGACAACCTAATGGATGAAGTGCTTTGCAAGAGAAATACATATTACAACAAGTGTTAGAAATAAAAAGTTAGGAAAAGGAAAATATTCACAGAATCATGTACATTATTTCATAGTGATTGCACTATAAAAGTTGGCACTTTAATTCCTAAGATGAGTAAATTTAACTTAAAACCATAAAAATATATTTTCTGATTAAAAGAATGCGATAAAAGAAAAAATACGTTAAAAAATTAAGCTTAAAGACGAGAATAGAATAAACACAGCCCAAAAGAATAGAAAAATTGATTTTCTCATGAGAGTGTCTACTTTATATAGTATTCCACCTCAGTACAGATGCATTGCAGATGATATTCTAACTATTTACTATTTAAATAACGGTTTATTTAAAACAGTGCATTGGTTCAGTTTGAACTTAGAAGGAAGGAAAATTTGACACAAACTCTATACAAACCCGTCTAGACAGCGTGTTAGTGTTAGATAGACCATTTATTTAGAAAGGGTATTTGTTACATCAAGATACAACAAATAGGAGCTGAAGCATTAATGAAATATGTTGCAAAAATTGGGAAAAATTATTCCTTTTGAGATGAGACACGCACACAAAGTTGCCCGGGTCAACTAGAACATTATAAACTGTGAAGTTAGGGCATTGCTATTTCAATTTATAATACACTCTACTCTCATTCTACTTACTCCAAACTTGTTTGTGCTAATTCTATTGTTCGAAAACTCTCTATACTAAACTAAAAATCATTAAAAAATTGTTTCGTCCTGTCAAATAACGTTTCCTGTTCTGAAAATGTAGAATTTTGCACGAGTAAGTTTTTTTTCAAGTTCATACTTGTTAATAACTTTGGAGTAAGTAGAACGGTTTGTACATCGACGGTTATAACAACAACCTCCTCATTTGCACTAGCTACAGCATTCTTTTATTGCATCACGTGCATCGTTTTTTATTTAAATATGATTGTCATATTCTGAAATATTTCTAGTTTTGTAACTGCAGCAGGTGTCACATTGGTCTTGTCACGGTTGATGAATTCCAAAATTTTCATGGGAAAGTAACTTAGAAAAAATCTTTCGTGAGGAATTAACACGTAGGATATTTTATAAACAAACTTTTTATGAGTTATCACATTGGAGATTTTGAGAGCTGTAATCGTATTTTATATACGATCAAAACTTCATAAGCACATGTAAGTTTTTGCATAGAGTACACACCTTAAAATTTGAAGCCAATTGTTATTAATAATAGTAGTCGTAGTAATAATAGTAGGCGCAACGACGTAATATCAAACGAGTTGAGAGTAGTGTACTAATAAATAATAGGGACTAGGCACTACAATAGAATGGAACCTCCAATTAAGTTCATGTGTAGATATGTTATTTTTAGTTATATCATATCGATAAGTTACTAATTTTACCGTTATATGCAGTCATACTGATCAATCATGATTGACTGGCTGACGAGAAAAATGGTGATCAACATCAACATACTTCGTAGTGTCCTAAATTAACAGTTGTTGGGATTCGGAGATATTTGGGAATAAACTTCACATTGTTAAAATTTTATACGTCACTGATTTCTTTAATAATTGACAAATATTTATCGTTTCACACAAATCAAAACATTTTCAATAACCTACTTTATATTTTGTTTCTTCAGCAAAAATAGACTTCTATGTTTCTTTAACAGTATTAATTTCTGTGAGAATTATCTTTTGTGTAGGTACTGTAGTATATTTTGCTATGCTATAAATATTGTTCTTGTTAGTCAACGCTCAAAGCTCTGAAAGAGCCAGGCATACCAATATAACTTTCGTTAAACTTGTTCGCTTGTCTATAAGATTCGTTTGTTTTGGCTTTGTTCATTTCTTTAAAATGATCCAAAAATTCTTCAGAACTTATTGTATCTATCCAGTCACCTGTAATAACACCAATTAAATTGTTTACAATAAAATTATTGGCTTAGGAAAAACATTCAGAAATACAAAAACAGGTTTGGATTAAGCTTTTGAATACACACATAATTATGTTATTTCTTGTAGACCACGGGTAGGACACTTACCACCAGACGCTAAATGTCCTGCTCATGAACACCTTCAATTTTAGGGTTTCAAGTGAGTAGTAGTTACAAATAAAAGATGGGGAGATAGGAACTCTTCTAACCTAACTCACTCAATGAAAAGCAAACTTTTTTATATGCAAACAACTTACCATGAAGATCTTTTAGTGATTTTTCTTCACCGCCATAATCAGATGGCATAATTTCTTTTGGTACAAACTCGTAAATAGCCTTTATACTTTTATGTGTGCGAATTCTGGCTGAAAGTTTTTCACTAAAAACTTGTTTCAATAGTCCTATTAGATTATCGACCATCTTAGACGAGGTTATAACATGAATCCCTTTAATTCTCATACCGTACCCCTCCTGAAAATAAGAATGTATGTTATAGGAACATAATTATTCAATTTTCAAATAATCAAATATTGGTTGGCGATCCTGACTACTAAGCCAAAGGTTGTGGGTACCATCCCAGGACAAATGCTCTTTGACTTACACGATCATTTAGTTCAGTTTCTTGGTGTAATTTATTTATGATTAGGAATATTTGAGTATGGTTGTTACGTGCGCGTGTACGTAAACTTGCGCCTGTTACGTAAGTGGGGCCAAAATACAGTCGGCAAAATACGCCCCTGTACATCTTTCAGGTATAAAAACAATGTTTGTTACGTGCGGTTGGAATGCAATAGACTTGCACCTGTTACGTAAGTAGGGTTAAAATACAGTAGGCAAAATAAGACTCTATCCACCTTTCGGGAATAAAAACAATGATTGTTACGTGCGGTTGGCGTGCAATAGACTTGCGCCTGTTACGTAAGTAGGGTTAAAATACAGTAGGCAAAATACGACTCTGTCCATCTTTCGGGCATAAAAAACAATGTTTGTTACGTGCGGTTGGCACGCAATAGACTTGCCCCTTGTTATGTAAGTGGGACCAAAATACCTCCTCTGTAAATCTTTCGGGTATAAAAACGTAAGGGTATACAATATATAGTCTATTAAAAGATACGCTTGAAGTAAAAAAAAAAACGTACCTTGACTATTAAGTGACACTAGTATTATTTTCAGGGAAAGAAATAATTTATTTGTAAATTTTTATGTCTTTGTTAGGAATGCCTATCAAAGGCGCAAAATGCCTTTTTAGAAGCTATATGTCTGGTTAGACTCTATAAGTTAACTATAGAGTCTTTGCAGATAATCATCTTTTTCTTTAAAATCACTCAAACATCAACTTAATGTAAGTTGACAAAAAAATGTAGTGCAAATTAACTTGCCCTTGAAACTGGTGTTTGTAAATTTATTTTACTTACAGTCATTAAAGTTATAATCTTTCTCAGATCCATTGGATTAATTTTAGTCACTAAGTTCAGTATGTTTACTTCGCTGTAATCCAAAATGACGATAAATCCGGCACAATACTCAAATTTCTTGAAATACTCGCTGATCTAAACAAAAAATAACAAAACCTTTTTAAATTACTTAAATCGATGGGTCGAAAAGCTGCTTGTTATCTGTATCAACGATAATTTTAATATCCAAAATATCACAAAAACCCCATTGGATGGTTTCATATTATTATTTCCCGGCCGGCAACGCGTTTGTGACTCCTGAGTTGCAGACGTTCATGAGCGGCGATGGTCACTTTCCATCGGGTGATCCGTCTGTTCGTCTGCCCCCTCTAACATAAAAAAAAAGCTAAAAGGTAAATAATAAATTAAAAAAACTATATGCTAATTTTGTTATTTGTGAATCTGTCACAAATAACAAAATTTTATTATTTTTCATGGCATTTTTTTTTCAACAACAAAAGAATATGTCCCGTGTGTGGGACTTTATAAACATACATGAAACAGACAAAAGAACATCCAGACTCAGAACAACAATTTGTGGATTACATAAAGTGTTGTCCCATGTGAGGATCGAACCCATAACACTCTGCGCATTATTTATACAACCGTTATAAATACCTAATCACGCTTGAATGAAATTTGCCACAGGGATAGATTTATAGCCTGGAATTGAACATGGTCTATTATTCCGGTAAAATTTATTGTCAAAATTTACATTAAGTTGAACTTAGCAAAGACTAGTTATATTAGACCAGCATAAATTAAAATTTAAAAAAATCCCCCACACAGATCTTGGATGTGAAATTTGTCATAGTGTATAGTATTCTAGTAGTCAAGCCCTTTCATTTGATACCCATATTGAGAGAGTTGTGAAAAAATATATAATCCAACATTTTGTGGCGGCGGCCATCTGGGACCGATTTTCATCAAACATACTAGGAACACTCCCGATTAATTCACACTTACAAAAAAAAAAACAAAATCGTTTAATCCGTTCGAGAGCTACGATACCAAAGACTCACTTAACACACATACACAGAGACACGTTAAATGTAAAACACCCCGCCGTTTTTGCGTCGGGGGTAAAAAATATGCGGTATAATTTTTAAATACTAAAAAAAATATACTGAATATAAAACGCGTCTTTACGTAACAATAGCTTTTAAACATTCATTAGGTATGCAATAATTAAACAGAAAGTGTTTTCTTTTTATCACTAATAGTCGATTTGTGATTTAGTCTTCACTAGCATACTGTTAATGTAATAAGTAGCAGCATCGAAATGATTAAGGTTTATAATCAACTGATTGCAGGCTTATACTCCACATAGGTAGTTGCGTCATAAACCCACTCCTAATACAAATATATAGCTCAGCTGAAGCTTGAACGAGAATACTGAGTAAAATTGATGACCAAAAATTCAGATTAAAAATAACAGTCCATAAGATTCTAGAAGAGTTTCAAAGGATTTAAAAAAGATAAGCCAACTGAGCTAGAGTTTTTAAAACACTAGTACAGTTATAACATAAATAAATCAACATAGAAGATGTTGTAGAGTAAAATGTAAGAGAATACAATTATGTATTATGTGGTCTGTCTAAGGTTTTTTTTATTTCTATCAAATATGAAAGTAAAGTAGAAAATGCTATTGGCATGCCATGCCATTGGCATTTTCTACAAAAAAAAGAAGATTACCATTGTAAGATATCTGTAAAACGTAAATAAAATCGTGGAATTCAAGTTTTCTTCTGATACTGTTTTGCTTAAGTAGACTCTGTAATGTTCTGGTGTTAGCCTCGGAAGATTAGCCGTTGATCTGAAACATATGTTAACATTCCCAGTTGCACAAATATTTCAGAGAGAACCGACTACATTTTACAGTGCAAGCACCGTAACTATCTTTGGTTATGTATTTGGTATGCCGAAATCAGAGGCATTTAAAAAAAACAACGTGATTCACTGAAAGTTTTAGAGAATTTACAGTAATCGAGGCCTATGTCCAGCAGTGGACTGCGATAGGCTGATGATGAGCCAAAGCTGTGAGAATTTATTAATTTTATTATTTACTATTAAAGAATCCTTAATACTTACATGATAGTCTGAAGTGGCAAAAACTCCTCTCTCACATCAGAAACGGTGAAAAACTCCGGCATCAATGTCTTAAATGTGCACAACTTGTCCAATCTCTCTTTGGCTCTTTCCACGAGTCCCTTGGCTGCGATCAATGTGGTTTCAAGATAATCTCTAGCTAGAATCAGTTTATATTGAATTGACTAACCTTATCATGCTAGTTATCATTTTCTTTTGAGTTTTTATTTATTTATTTATTTGCCCTTTTATTCTGAATTATTTCTGTTTCTCTATAATAAATGTTGTTATAAAATGGTCCTCAATTCAGTGTGCCTCCTGGCAAAGGCCTCCTCTAGCTCCTTCCACTGGTTTCTGTCAGGAGCCACTCTCCTCCAATTGGAGCCCGCCGTTTGTTTGAGCTCAGGCTATATACACGTTCTTTTGATTTATCGGTTATCGCGGTAAAAAGTAGCCTATGTTACTGCTAATGCAGCTTTCCATTGGTGAAAGAATTTTGAAAATCGATTTAAAATCGACCATGGAATGAATGGAAACGTATTTCAAATACATTTAGATTTTGTTATTAGTTAAAACCAGGCTTTAAATTTATCCATAGGTACTTACGAAAATCTCTTTTTGTAAAATGCGCTTGCATTTTCACCCAGTTTTCCAAAATATCTAAAGCTTCTGTCATTCTTAAAGGCTGATCTAAATCCACATCTTTCCTAACAACTTCTAAGGTATTAGGTCTAAATTTTAGCACTCTAGTATCACTTAAACGCTCCATCACTTCAACCTTATACTACTAATAGTCGGCATCAAATGAATTTATATCAAATGGTTTTGTTTTTATAAACTTTACACTTAATCAATTAGGTGGATTACCTGTTTGGGAAATTATCTGCGTTCGCAGTGCAATGTTGTAATAGTTATTTATATTTCAAGGTTTATTAACAATATTTTAGTTGTACTAGTGGTTAGTGATACTGACTGCAGCGCCAGAGATCGAGGTTCAAGTTCCACTCTTCATCATCATCTGCCTACTTTTATCCCAACTTTATTTGGGTCGGCGCAGTGAGTATGATTCTTACATTCTACTCTATAAGTCGTCATTTCACTGATTACGACCTTTCTAGCCGTATCCTCACTCACACAATCTATCCACCCTTTCTTTGGTCTTCCTCTTCTTTTGTAATCTTCAACTCTCATACTTAACACTTTCTTCGCCTGATTTCCGTGTCCCTCCGCATGACATGTTCTATCATGTCATGTTCAACTTCCACTCAAGACAAATTTAAGTATCTGATAAATATGATCAATAATTTTATATGTATATTGCAACATAGAACTATGTCCGGGTTTAATCTTGCAAAAATAGTATATCTATTTTTCAATAATAATAATAGTTTTGATATGGATTGATGTTTCTTTGTGTATTCATTTTACACCGCTCAAGAAAATATCACTGCTTAAAATATGCTTTTTGTTATTGCTTGCAAAGAAGAGACAGCGAATGTGGGTGGCTTTTTCAAAACTACTTGTTTTTAACTTATAACGTAATCTTGATTTTTTGTACAACAAAATTAGCCTATTAAAGATTTGGTAACTTCGTAGTAAAGAATTTAGAAGACCGGTTGAGGTAGGTAAGTTTTTTACTTAATTCGATTACCAATAATATAAACTTTAGTTGTTTTTGTGATGTATGTATAATACGGGGGTAGTTGTAATAATCTTATATAGCCCGATTATTACACTACCGCCAATCTGACTTTGAATTACACTTTCAACGTTACGCTTGTGTTTGATTTCGCTCCTTAGGTAAACCTAGAAGTACGAACTAACTAGTCTAGACTTATCAGTGGCGACGAGGTAGTGCATCGTTCACGTGTGCAAGCTGTTTTTTTTTTTTGTTTTGTTGTGTTTCGGTAGTAATTCAAGAAAAATGTCAGTAGGTAAGATCGGGCCGTTCGACGTGAGTAAGGACAATTGGCGGTCATACGTGGAAAGGCTGGAACAATATTTTGTAGCTAATGATGTGAAAGAAGCAATAAAAGTGGCTACATTAATTACGGTCGTAGGTAGTGACGCGTATGAGTTAATGGTGAATCTGTGTACACCTGAGCGGCCGGCTACAAAAACGTTTAGTCAGTTAGTAAACATTATGCAAAATCATTTGCAACCACAAGCTAGTGTGTTAGCGGAGCGTTATAAATTCCGACAGCGTAAACAGAGTAAAGACGAGACAATTGCTGAGTACGTGGCGGAACTGAAAAGGCTATCGAAAACGTGCAATTTTAGTGAGTCATTACGTGATAATCTAAGAGATCAGTTAGTGTGCGGCCTACATAACGAGATAATTAGGCAGCGGTTATTTGCGGAGGATGATTTACAGCTTTCATTCGAGAAGGCATATAAGTTAGCAGTGACAATGGAGGCAGCTAAGACAGGCGCAGATTTGGTTGAAGGACGAGGGGTGGAACATCGGGAACCAGCGTCTGTGCACCTAGCTACAGCAGGAGTCAGGCGAGAGGGAAATTATAAACAGTACAGTAACCGCGGCGCTACAGCAGCGCCGGCAAAGTGGCTGAGAGGGTCCACGCCAAGCGTGCGCCGTGCCAGTCC